AAACTGGACATAATGCTGTCGCCGCCGCGGACCGGTGTCGGCTGGCCGGGAGCTGCTCTGTATTCCAGCGTCCTGTGGCAACAGGTTCACGGGACGAGTTAGCGCGTTCGACCGGAAAAGTGTACCGCTCCCGGGTCGGCGCGGCGGTCCCGGTGGACAGGGCACCAGGTGCTCGCCGCGGCAGAGTTGGAGCCGGGAATCGGTCACGGCTGTCCGAATGGCTCCCATGGCCAGGGTGGAGCATTGATTTGACCACCCGGCCGCGGTGCTTGTGCAAACGCTCATGGCTAGGTCGCCAAGTTTGTGACACATAAGTTAAACGCTTTTGTAAAGTGTTTGAAACGTTTGTCAAATAAGCGTGCCTGTTTTTTTTTTTTGCATTTAGTGTGCATATTTTGAATCTATGCCTACGAAAGTATACTGGCTCGGAAACGATTTTGATCACCGATCAATGATCATGTTATTTGAGATTCACATCTCAAAAGAGGAGGTGGGATCGCAACACACTAAACAATCGATGACCTTACCTCAATTGCCCCATTGTGTGTTGTAGCTACCGTTCATGGCATTTTGAGTGTTCATGGTTGCGTTTAGCCGATATGAGAGGATAAGCCGCGCCTTTTACCATTGTAACTATTTCGATACTACACGGGGAAGCTGGAGACTAAGCTCTCTAATAAGCAAGCATTACTATTGGTGAGGAACTTGTTTTATCGTAGAAGAATAACCGTATGCTCACTATCTTTTAACAATCCAAAATTAGCCTAAAATGAATGAATATATTTCGGAAACGTTCCTTCTTCAGTTCAAAAGTTAACTATACACGCTATCTTATGTATGCCTGTTAGTTCAGTCATACATTGTTTAAAAGAGGCCTTGCTACTTATATGGCACGAGAATGTTGGTGGGATCAGTTAATTCGGCGCTTTTGTGACGTTCAATAATTTGTACATTTCTGTGCCTTGTATAGTTAACTTTTGAACTGAAGAAAGAACGTTTCCGAAATATATTCATTCATTTTAGGCTAATTTTGGATTGTTAAAAGATAGTGAGCATACGGTTATTCTTCTACGATATTCAATCATGATGCTCATTCTAGTACTTCGCCACCTTATTACAAGGAACTTGTTTTGTTGTTAGAAATAGAGCTAGTGCCGTAAGAAGTTGGCCTAATCATCGCGGTTTAGCCTAGCATAACTTTCCATGTTATCTTAGGTATCTATCCAGGGGCGGATCCAGCATTTTGCCAAGGGAGGGGCTATTCCGAATCGGGGGCCCCCCATCGATGGGGGCCCTACCTACCCCCAAAAGTTTAAGCCTGGATTTCGTCCACTTTATTTTTGGGGGCCCCCTATCATGCTTTTTTTGCAAAAAAAAAAAGAAAATGAGAAAGTCGCCCGGGGGGCGCTATAGTCCCTATCGCCCCCCCCCCCCCTGGATCCGCCCCTGCTAGGAGGCCTTGTATGTGAACTAGGAAGCCCTCTGTGATAGCTAGGAGGCCCTCTGTGCAGATGCGAGCGCAGGCCCTCAGTACAGACTTGGAGACCCTTTGTGTGGATGCGAGTGGAGGCCCTCTGTGGAGATTAAGAGGTCCTGTGTTGGCGAAGAGGATATCTGTGCAGGCTTGGAGTCCCTCTGTGCAGGATAGGAGACCTTCTGTGTGAGTTAGGAGGCCCTCTGTGTTGGCTAGGAGGCCCTTTGTTCGGATGCGAGTGGAGGCCTCTGTGTAGGCTAAGAGATTTTGTGTTTGTTAGGACATCTGTGCAGGCTTGGAGGCCCTCTGTGCAGGTTAGGAGGCCCTGTAAAAGTGGTCATCTCTGTGAGTATAAGAGACCTCCAAGTTATGAAAAGCTTTACCAATCTTCTAACAAAGAAGTCTTCTCAGCTAGTCTTCTAAGAAATAACTAAGTGGGTAGGTTAAAAAAAAACTCATCGGATTTCGGCCACTTTATTTTCAGGAGGCCCCCTTTTCAGCTTTTTAACTTTTTATTTTATTTTTGAAAAAAATCGGCCAAGGGGGGGGCCATGGCCCCCATGGCCCCCCCCTTGTATCCGCGCCTGTATCTATCATATCATACCCATAACATCATCATAGTGTCATATGATATTACCATGGTTCCTGAACAACTGTACATAAATAAAAACATTCGGTGAACAACCGAGCTTCAGTTATGTGAATGCATTTGGCTTCCTGGATACATTGAACTGCGCAGTCGTTCATTCGTAAATCGTAAAAATGCAGCTTGTTCACATGCGCGTGTCAATGGCGTATTTAGTGATTTTACAAAGCTATCGTAATTTGCTTTCGAATGTTATGTCCCACAATTTCTACTTATTACCTAGCGAATTATTTAATTTCGGTAAAAGTAGCCACTGGTATCCTTCCGTTTACTTCAGCAGGTAGCATTGAAGCGAAGTATAACATACTTTAGGCGGCACTCTCCCATGACACTGTCGTTTACCATGACGTCCTAGCAGTGCCCTGGGCTGACAGTGCCATTTCTCAGGCCCACATATCGTCCCGCGCCAGCTGCGCACGGTCGCGCACGTGCCGCTGCCGCCGGCGGCGCACTGCGGCACTTCTGGCGCCGCAATGGCGATTGCGCCGCCGTCACGTAAGCCCGATGTGCCAGCAATGGCCCAATATCCGCGCTGCCGGCGGGCAATATGACAGTACTAATGAGGAACCGCCGGTGCCGGCGTCATGACCGCCTGCGGCCGGCACGGTCCTGCGGGACGGTATATCAGCCGGGCGGCGGCGGACGGCCGCGCGGGACAGCCTATGAGCCAGGCGGCGGCCGACCTGCGGCGGGTCAGTCCGGAGCCGCAGGCGGCGGCCGGCCTGTCCCGCGAGACAGTGTGCAAACGACAGGTGACGGTAGCGTGGCTCAAAGTTCAGGGGTGACGCGCCGTGTCGGACACGACTGTGGAACTGCCCGGCGGGAACCGACGGGCAGACAGTTGTCGCTGATGGACCGACGGAAGCCGCCGTCATTGGGAGTCAATTCGCGCACGGCCAAGGTGCTTTGATGGCGCTTTGATATGGACGGGGCTGATGGAGCTGGTTTATGGTCCGATCGGTAGGTAGCGTGACGTCCCGTGCACAGCCGGGTGGAAGGCGCCCGCCGTGACTGCCAATGACGAAACTGGCCCCCCGCTGCGATCCACTCTGCACTACATCAACAACTATGCAATAATATCGGTATGCTGAGCCCAGTGATCATACCAAGTGGGCAGCCGGGCCGGAACAGGGCAAATATATGAGATGGATGCTGGGAATGGCCAACACTTGCTGCTGTCACTGCTAACGCCTTTCTTACAGATGGCTACATCAATTTGGAGTTGTTTAAATGCATGCTGATAAGAAATAGAAAATCAAATGCAAAGGAGTTGCGATGATGCACAAATTGGTTGTTATTTTATCTGTGTGATAAACACAAGGTATAGATAGCAGTTTAAGCACTTTGCCATCATGGGTCATGCCACACTGATAATAACCGGCACCCACCAGCAAACTAAAAATCCTTCTCCTCGCTGCTTTCACTGAGCCATTATCATCGAATCCAGTCTAGTATTATCCCTTGCACTGCAGAAATTGCTCATGCTGACTGCTGCATCGGTCAATACCTGCCTGCAGTCTTGTTTGATGCCAAGACAAAGCGGATCTCATTGGTACCCTGCTCGTCACGGCATCGCCCCAGCGACTCCACCTTAAAGCTATTGACGTCTCTAGAATCTATCGCTCCACGAGCAAACGGCAATGAAACTTCCAAGCACGTTGCGTATGGGGAAGTCACCCGTCTCGCTCCCTGGGGGCTCCCTCACCGCCGTCTATTGGTTGTTTATTTCGTATATGGAGAGGGCAAGGAAGGTGGAAGCCTCGTGCTGCTTCAGTGCCTTTTTTGGGTAACCATTTCCCTGCTCATTGAAGCCTGATTAAAAGCAAATACCGAAGTTGTGATTGAATATTCCAGGATAAGCCGGTTATATGTGTTGATAAATGCGAAACTCAAGACAGTAGTGAAGTTACTGCGATGGTTTGAACTGAAGAGTATGGCTTCGACTTGTACATTGTCTTAGAACAATTATGCAATTTGAGTTGCTTTGTGCTGTGGGATTATTATCTTTCTGTTGTTTGCTTTACAATACATATATAACCTTCGGTGAGATGTTTTTTTTTCGTTCTTTCAGTTAATTCTGCATCCACCTCACATAGTTCTTTAGATCCTTTGACATATTTCACAGTATTTCACAGCCAATATATAGGTAATATAAATACGGAGCGACGATCGTTTGCAGACCTATTTCACCAGCAGCTGTCGACGCCGCTGTAGCTACATAATAAGAGAACTCATGCGCAACAGCTTCCACGCTGTGACAAAACAATCTCATCAGCGACTTTTCTGTCGTCTAATAACTCTTTCCCCTTCAAATCCCCTACGGTTGAGTAATAATCGAGCACACTGTGCGCTAAATGCCCTGATTAATTCGAACACTCGTCCCCTCGCGGGTTGATGAAGGCCTCGTAATGGAGACGACAGGCCCTCGCGGGCCCCAGCTGCGCGGAACGGTACCCGAAAACCGACAGACTGCTGAAAAACGGCGTCCGACGCCCCGCGTCTCCCTCTCTTGGCAGATGTGATCCAGTGCTTTGTGTCTGTATGTTCACTGTTCAGTGATGTGTTACGTCAGTGTTTTGTGTCCGTGTGTTCAGTGATGTGTGACTAGCGCATTGTGTCGTGTGTTTCCGAATTTTGCAGATTTGACGTCAATGCGAAGGATCTGTGCTTGTATGTTTGTTGATGCTTGACGTTGGTTTATCATCTGCGTGTGCACTATAAACTACTACGTCAGTATACATATTGTGATTGTTCAGTGAACATACATTCTCTGGTATATGACGTCAATACAATGAAGCTGTGCGCTCGCTGGTATTTGAAGTCAGTGCCTAACTCTCATGTTCGCTGGTATGTGACGTCATTGTATCTCTACGTTCACAGACGTGCCGTCAAGCCCGGCGCGGCCGCTCATCACCAACTTCACGTCTCGCTCTGTGTTCCTCTCCTGGCGGCCTGGCAGCAAGCCCAACAACAGCCCCATCAAACACTACGTCATACACGTCAAGTAAGGCATGACGCACGTCAGCTAACGCTGCACAGAGGGCCGGGATTAGCGTTTGGTATTCACTGTCTCCACTAGACAGCTGAGGTCGTATTTCCTTTTTCAGGAGAGCAATGTGTGCACTGTGCAGTAAGCACAATGTCTCGCTGACATGATTTCAATAATGCAGATGGAAGTTTGCCTAACTGATGGATTCTTAACTTGCAGTCTGCAGCTAGCAGTTCATTTGCAACTTCGAATTTATATTTTGGAGAAGCCAGCATCATTCGTATTAAGTACTCAATAGTGCATATTTTGAGTTTCACATGCTTTCCACTTTGCTCGGAATTGGAGTTATCCCTCCACGAGATGACAATCTTCGCAAAGGGCAACAATCCCTTTTCCAGTAATGCAAGCATGTTCAATTTCCCAAGTTTATTATGTTTGCGTATTTTCGGTAGGTAATAGTTTGGTATCTTGTATTGACATCCCCCAGCCAGCACTGCTGATCCTCTCCCAAGATAGAGAAGTTTGCCCATACGATCGGCTGCTGCCAGCATTGCGATCCCGTTCCAGACACCCCTTCTGCACTGTGCACTGTGCGGGCAAGGCCACCCTGCCGTGCGCCGCCTGCACCCGCGAGTGACCGGCGGTGGTGGGCTGCGGGTCTTCCGAGGCCACCGCCCGCATGGTCTTGTGTCCGCCGCAGCTGCCGGCCTGGGGAGAGGTCAGCCTGCCCGCCTCGCCCGCGGAAGGCGTCTCACATCACCCCATGCCCCCCCCCCCCCCCCCCGGAGCGGCCCGGCGATGACAGGGATTCGTCATTACTTATCAGCACGGGGTCCGTGCGTCCGTGTGCGAGAGGCATTAGTATGCGGCCGGCGATAGACGCTAATGCGACTCGGCTGGTCCGACTACCGCCGGCTTGGGGTAGGCTTGAGATAGGTCTCGGCCGAGCTGACAATGATAGATGTTAGAACACGGAACGCTGGGGTCAGCTGACCGCTATCTCGGCGACTTTTTATCCGCGGAGCCGGGCCGCTCCAAATTTGGCCCGTTCGATCTGATCGTGATGTGTTCGACGTAATGTTAAACGGCTGATGTTGTTCGGGTCACGTTCCATTTATTTCGGTCGATTCGAGCTAGATAGGCCCGTCGTGTCACTACAGATTGCGTCTGCACCAAGCAGTAGCATAAATTTCAAACGATTGTGACGACTTTCAAGACAGAGACACTGTCTTGGGGCCGGCACTTTCTGTTGAAATGGCCGCTCTCCCACTGAGCTCGGCTGGGCTCAATTCGGAAGCCGGGGCTCCCGACTGTTTCTACCACATTTACTCCTGGTTTCCGAGTATATCGACCGAGAGCACACAAAGGCTAACTGCAGTCGGGACCTATCTTTCAACTCGGGCTTACCCGGGACCATCTGCCATAATATCCAGCCGGCGGCAGCGGCTCGCACTGCCTCATCTCGTATAACAGCAGCGCGCCACCAGCGCGACTATCAGAGCTTCATGACTAAATATGTACCGACAGTTTTTGGATGGTTTTGTTCGTAAAAAGGATCAGTGACGGCCTTGAAATGTTCAGTAAACTCACTCGAATGTATTAAAGCTAGAATCAGCAAATAGCCATCGTATGACGAATACGCTATCTAAAAACTTAGCGCCAAGTCTTCAACTTGCCAGCCACATTGGGTAAACGATCTCCAATTTATGGGCGCCTCCTCTCTGACTTTTTGGGACGCCAGTGAGACAGATGTCTGTTTGGTCAAAGAGTAAAATCCCAGAAGAGTCCGGCCCATCGCGCTGTGTAAACGACCCGTCAAGCTGAGCCCACTGTCTACTCAGCCATTCCCCTCGCTCCGGCCGCCCTGTCGCCTGTCCCTTAGCGCTGCGACCAAATCTGTCACTCTGCCACACCCCGCCGCACCGCCCGAGAAATGCATGGCCCTCGCGGTCAGAGGACCTTCCTGGAAGAGGCGCACCCCTCCTCCGATCCTCTCCCCTGCTCCGCGCCTCTACCGGTCGTGCCGTCGCACACCCTCAGTGAAGTCGGCTGTCCGTCCAGCCGGCGGCGCCATGCAGCGGCCGGCCGGTTCCCTCCAGGCCACGCGTTCGTCACTCTCGCCATTTACGATTTACGACTTACGGTGCGGACGCCTCGTGCTGTCGTCACCGACGTCCCTCCGTCGGCGTCGACGACCGGCAGGGCCGATCTTCTGTCGCGCGCGCCGACGTCGAAATCGACAGCACACAAACGTCGGAGAGGCAGCCGGCGACCATCGGGTGCCTCCGATAAACAGCAACATCGGCCCGACCGGCCTCTTCGGACGGCCGTTCGGGCCGGCACCGCCATCGGCCGATAACGCCTCCCGCCGGGCACTGTCGCGGCGGACGAGCGTCGAGAACGACGGGCCGTCCGAACGACCGTCGAGTGCCGCCGGCGGGAGGGGGGAGGGGGAGGTACCTCTGGCGGAGGTGGAGGGCGGCCGTATGGCGACAGCAATCTGGTGGGGATCGGCGGACGGCCGATCACAGGGCGCGCTCGGGCCGCCGGCGCCGCCAGATCCGATCTCCGCCGACCGAATGGGACGCCAACGACAGTCGGCACCGGCGCGCTAGATGGAAGACCATTCGCTCCAGATGTATGTGCCGATTCGCTGGAAGCGACTCGGGGTGCAGATCGGCGTCCGGTGACTTGCACGAGCGCGTCCTTTTGTTTGCCAGCCGCCGCCCGACGTGCAAGAGCGGCCACCTGAGATGCATCACAATGTGGGATAATGTGTTTGCCTCATGCAGGCTACGTAATCCAATTATCTGCTGGCGCTCAGCCCGCTGTGTCGTCCGCACGATTCAGCCATCTCAAAGTCGTTCACATGAGTGTGCTATGTACCCGGTCCAATTTTATTAAGTGAGCTGCCGGAAAGTTCGTCAAGTGATAGCGCCAACTCGGTGAAGCATGAGAAAGCTTTTAAAAACTTTTGTGTCGCAGGTCGTTGCCGCTCTGCACAATCATATTCGCAAAGTTTTGTGTGCATCACTGCTATTGGTTTCCGCCAGAGAACTATATCTGACGCTGTGAAACTTTACAGCTGTATGCTTGTCTATTTATTTTCTGGGAACTTCCGCGCAAGCCAGCGCTGCTTCCGTTGGAAAATTCGCCAGAAATCCTACAAAACATCGTTCATTGCGAATGATATGACCCCTGCAGATGCGACTCGGACGCAATTTCTCTGCGGCAGAAAAGATCCGATTAAATGAGGCAACTCAACGAGATGTGCTGCCATATTTATTACACTGCGCCAGCGTCTTGCAGGGCGCGCCGTGCCAGATCTCCTAAATCCACCAATATCCCACCAGATTCACCGGGATCCTCTGAGAGCCGCGAGTTGTGAAAGACAGCGACAGTGACGATTCTTTTTACTTCTGAAGCGTTTGCGCAAGAAGGTTTGACTTGCTTGCAGTCCAGTCAATGCATCCCTGGGCAACAAACATGTCGTGTTCAAAGTTCAAACCAAGCCATATGCTCAGAAACTGTCGTGGGGATTTCTGAATCTGATACACAAATGGACCAGGTCCAAGACAGCAGTATCTCTCGTTCCCCAAATCGCTCCATTTGAGCTCGGAGGGTGGAGTCCGCCGCTTGATGAAATCATCCAGCTCAGTTCAGAACAAGCACGTCCCGTCCGAATCTGTCTTGTGACTCAGTCCCTCCGGCAGGGAGACGAACCGCCCGTCCTGCGGTGTTGTGGCCCTTCTCCCCAGCTTGTGTCGCTGCTCTGTCGGTCGTAACCACCGCCGAGGAGGGCGAGCTGGTGGACAATTGACTCGGCCGCCGGCGCCGAGTTAGCCGGAGATCACAGAGGGGGGCAGTCTAGATGGCCGAATGGTCCCCGCTGTAATTAAGTTGCCCAACTGCCGGCGGGGTCCAATATTGGCGGCCCGGCTGAAAGCGCCAGACTATTTGCGCTCTGGTCTATTTGGGGTACGAACAATTACATTTGATGCTGAAATTTGCGTTCCAAGTTACCGCTAACACCGTGGCTAATTTTGTGACGACTCGCTCACGCTTGACGAATTCGGAGCGCTCTCATAGCATGTTTCGTCGTCATTCCTCGCATTGCGGGTATCTCGACGCCAGCGCTGACGCAGTCGGAGATGGAGGTCGCTCCTCTGCGCTGACGTCTGAGGCCGGTACCAATCTGTCCACCGCCGGAAGGCCGGCCGTGATCCAGGGGCTCTCCGCTGTCACCGGATGGGCGCACGTCTGTCGGGCGGCAGGGTCTGTCGGGTGACGGAGTCTATCAGATTGAACGGAGTCTACTGGATAGACTCGAGTCTATCGGACGGCGGGTTTATCCAAAAGTTAAAGTATCAAACGGTAAGCGCAGGGACCGCTACCACACCAGCACTAAAAACACAGTGCCAGGTCACGAAGCATGGCCATACCAGGGCTCAAGCGCGCTGGAATTACCGCCCCATCTGGGCACATCGCAGTAACAGCACTGAGCACACACTGCTATGACACACGGCAGGACACACCACCGCCGTATCAGCTCGCACAGTCGCATCACGACACATTGCCCTCCGATATCCTTCCACACTCTATCGCTCGTGGCACGTGCCACGTGCCGCGTGAATGACTCCCACGTTCAGTAGCCCCGAGGCCGCACGTCCGCACGCGCCCTCATGCCCCCTCACGTTCCCTCGACGGGGACGCGTTCGCTTCTCCCCCGGCGCAGCGGGACAGGATCGCATCAGTGTGCTGAGATGATCCTTTTCAGCGAAAACGCGATTTTGTCGACGGTGTGGGACACTAATGGGTCTCGGTGACTAGCCGGGATGCCGCGGGGTACGCGGCGCAGAAGGGGTGAGACGAGACCCCTGGGACTTCATCGACAACCGGTGGAACGGCCTGTTCGTTGCGTCTGGGGACGTGCTATGGCTGCACTACGGTCGTCCGCTTACACGCTATGTGATGATTGTGTCATATTAGACCCTAGGCAAGTGTGAATGCCCCAG